GTCGACACCACGCAAAAAACATCTAAAGCGAAACACGATTTCCTTTTGGTCAAATATCTGTTTCGCTCAACCCTGACATTTTGAACCAAAAACAGATAAGTTTTTCAGTTTCACAAATCATGACAAGCAGATAACAATTGGGATTCTTTAGAAATGAATTATTTCCCGTGCAACCAAACATTTCAAAATTGGGCAAAGTCGTTAGATTAGGGAAACATACAAAAAATAAGAAAAAAAAAAAGGGGAAATATTACACAAAAATTACGACATTTAGTAAAATTCAATGTGCGGAATGTGCGGGTGTAACATCGTATATTAGCAGTTTTCTGCAGATAGTTTCTAAATTTGTAGAAATCTGCATTAGTTACACACTGAAATTTATACACTGACTGTAACACGGCAACCTTTTCTTCTTTTATATATGTTAAAAATGTTAAAACAGGTTGAACTGGAATTAATAAAGTTTTCGGAATTCTAAAAAGAAAAAATCTTCTTTTTTGTAAACAAAAGATGTAATCAGTTGATCTATCCAATAAAATATGTGCTTTATTTATTTATTATTGATGGCGTTTGATCTGTTGATTAGAAAAATCTTTCGTATAAAAATAATTCAATTTTGTTTTTTTTTTATCGTAATAAACATGACCGATTTAAAAGAAAAAAATACCAAAACCGTTGAATTAACCAGCAATGACCTTGAAAAACGACATGATAATAATAAACCAGATGTAATATTTAATTCTTTTTTTTTTAATTAAAAATTTTCTCTAATTTTTTTAAAAAATATTAATTTTTCAATAATTAGTCGTATTTATCAAGTGCGAATTTAATCCTTGCTTTCAAAACACTTGGTATTTATTTTGTTCTATCATATTATATATTATTAATCACGATAATTAATTAACATTCTTTTAATATGTGACAATTAAAAGGCGTGATTTATGGTGACATTGGAACATCACCTTTATACACGATCAATACTATTTTTACGAGTCCACCAAATGAAAGTGATGTTCTAGGTAAAAAATATGATAATAAGCGATTTATAATTTATTAGCTAAATTAATTGATATATACCGTTCTAATACCAATTGTTTAATTAAGGTGCCGTATCTTTAATTATTTGGTCATTGGTAAATATAATAAAATCAATTGATCAATAAATATATTTTTTTTTATTGTTCTTCGTGAACATTACCATTTTTTCTTCTTCATCATATCAATTAGACAATTTTGCCTATGATAAAATATGTTTTTATCATCATAAGAGCTGATGATAATGGTATGGGTGGTACATTTGCTCTTTATTCTTTAATATGCAGGTAATTCTAACCATATTTTTTTCCAACTTTAATTTATATGAGGGAGAATAAATACTAAAAAAATTTTTAAAAAAATTTAGACATTCTGGTTTATCAGTTCGAGAAAATGAAAGACCTGATGATTTAACTATAATAAATTATGATTCAAAATTTATTCACAGCTTAAAAAAGAAGAAAAATATAATTGCCAGAAGCAATTTTGTTCAAGATGCTTTGTTAATATTAGTGTTACTTGGTGCTTCATTGATTATGAGTGACGGCTTGTTAACTCCAGCTATTTCTGTAATATCTGCTGTAGAAGGAATGTCTGTACCTGCTCCAAGTTTAACTAATGCCATTGTACCATTAAGTTGTGCTATTATTGTGCTATTATTTATAGGTCAAAAATTTGGCACAAGTAATATGGGAGCATTGTTTGCGCCAATTGTTTCACTTTGGTTCCTTTCTTTGGCAATGATTGGTGCTTGGAATATTGCACAATATCCCCAAGTTCTTAAAGCATTTAATCCACAATATGCATTTGAATATTTTATAAGAAATGGTGAACAAGGTTATAATAGCTTGGGTGGTGTTTTACTTGCAGTCACTGGTGTTGAAGCATTGTATGCTGATTTAGGACATTTCTCAAGAAAATCGATACAACTATCATTTCCACTTTTTGTTTATGTACCATTAATACTGGCTTATTCAGGTCAAGCTGGAAGATTAATATTAGAACCTGAGCTTATTAATGGTCCTTTGTTTTGGTTGACTATACCACAAAATCCAATAATATACTGGATCGTATTTGTATTGGCAACTTTGGCAACTATTATCGCATCTCAAGCAATGATTACCGCTACCTTTTCTTTAATTCATCAAGCAATGCAATTGGATTGTTTTCCAAAAGTTAGGGTATGGATTGAATTTATTTATTTATTTATTTATTTATTTATATATATTAGTTAGTTATGTTAATTTTATTTTCTGAATTTTTCTATAGGTTATTCATACATCAAAAACTATTCACGGACAAATTTATATTCCAGAGGTGAATGAATATATAATATGACATGATTTCTATAATTTCTATAATTCATATAAAAATTTCTATAAATCTTTTTTTTTTTTCAGATAAATTATATTTTGATGATTGCAACGGTTTTGGTTTGTATTGCATTTCAAACATCAGCAAATCTTACAAATGCATACGGAGTCGCAGTAATTACAGTTGTATTTATATCGACAATATTGGTTTCCATTGTGATTTGTGTAGTTTGGAATTTGCCATTGATTGTCAGTATAATGTTCTTATTAACATTTGGTCTAGTTGATGTTTCATTTATGGGCGCCACATTTCTCAAGATACAATATGGTGGATGGTTTACATTGGTTTTTGGATTTGCATTATTTATGGTGATGCGTATTTGGAGATGGGGCACAAATCTTCAATTGACATATGTGATGAAAAATGAAACTAGTCTTGAAAATATATTTATGACAGAAGATGATTATGAACGTGAAGAAGGGAAGAAGAGTGATGGTGGTGATGGTAGTAACGATAGTGCTGTGGATGAAGATATCGCTATAGATTCTTCTACATCATCTGTAAGAAAAAGAAAAAATAATAATTTATTAAGACTTAAAACTAATCAATATCCAGTTGTAAGATTACCTGGCATCGGTTTATTTTATAATGAAGTCACTAGTGGAATCCCGATCACCTTTAATCATTTTATAAATCATCTACCTTCTTTACCGGAAATTCTAATATTTATAACGATTAGACCTTTGGCAATACCATATGTTGGTGAGAAAGATAGATTGGTGGTGCAAAGGATTCGTAAATATAAAGGGTTCTATAAAGTTATTGCAAGATATGGTTATATGGATGCAATTTCTCAAGGCAAAGAATTTATAAATGAAATTGCTGATATAATACGAAAGAATGATATTTATAATAATGATGATAGTGATAACGAGACTGGAGTTAATGTTAATCATGATGTTGTAACTTATATTGTTTCTACACAAACATTTGATCCAAAACCGGATTCTAATTGGTTCAGAAAAGCTTTATTAGAATGTTACGTGTTTCTAATAAATAATTCAAGACAATTATATGGTAATTGGAATATACCAATAGAGGATGTTATTGATGTTGGCATGAAAATCGCTGTTTAAAAAAAAGTTGGAGCAGCATTGATAAAAGTTCTTTTAATCTTCAATGTATTACATCATGTATAACAATTTTTTATTATATAATAAAAAAATTATTAAATTTTTTTGTATTGACCCAAAGATGGATCTCAAGTAAGATGATGAATGAATGATTGAATGAATGAATGAATGATTGACGGAGAATAAATATATAAAGTAGAAAATTATTGAGTTTGCATGTAGAGAATTATGATAAAGTCCATGGATTACCGAGCTCATTCCTAGAATCTATTAGCAATTGCTTATACACACTCTTCTTTTCCCCTTTATTTATTAAAATTCTTACCAATTGAGTGACTGCTATTAACAATCTCTTTTTCAAAATTTGTCTTCAAAATCTTTTAATTATCAATCTGTCTTTCACTCTCTTTACAATTCCATCTGATTTATATGATAAATAATTCCATCTTTTTCTTCTCCATATTCATAAACTATAAATCATTTTCTGAATAATGTTGAGTTATGTAAAAAGCAAAATATATCCCAAAATATGTTTTCCCAATAACAACGCAACCTTTTGCATTAACAGAACGATTAGCTGAATGTAATGTTTCCGTATCATCATATTATAGGATCCTTTTTCACAAGAAAATATAATATATTTAATGGAATTATAAAATGAAGATATTTTGTCCATTCAATTTTTAGACTTTCTTGTGAATTTGTGTTGTCTCCACTCCTAAAATTGCAATTGCTTCATCTTCCGAACTTTCTTGCCCAAAAGGGAAACTTAAAGATACAGCAATTGCATCTTTTATTAAGTTGCCATCCGAGTCTATCATGATTCCATTTTTCAGCTCAATTTGATCCTTTTCAACTGATATTTAGAATATATTTCTGATTTATAAAAAGTGGTATCAATATTTTCTGGAAACTTGATAATAATTTTTATGTTATATTTTCAAGGAGTGTTGATAAGAAAAACAAATATAAAGCTCCGAACGGCTCGGTTTCGATTTCTAAAAAGTCAAACCGAAAAATTTCGGCTCAGTTCGGTTTAAACCGAACTGTTCAGAGATTTAGGCTAAAACCACTTGGCCGTCCCTGGTATTCTAATTTTTGCACTCTGCTTATTTAGAATTAAATTTATTAATTTATAATAGCAACCAGCGGACGTGTTTTTTCTGAAGGCACAGACTTAATTACTCAGAGGCGTTGTATTTTAGAACGTGAAACAATAAGAGTTTAAAAATTTGCGGAGACGACGAATTTTATATATGAATTAAAAAAAAAATCGAACGTCCTTAGGATTTTTATTCGAATTATTTGTTTCATTCGTTATTATTATGAATTTGAGTATTCGAATTAATATTAAATTGAAAGTTTAGTCGAACGAAACGAATAATTCGAATGAAACGAATAAAACGAGTAATTCGAACAAAACGAATAAAATGAATAATTCGAATAATAATAAATAAACAAAACGAATAAAACGAATAATGCGAATAATACGAATAGAACGAATAATGCGAATAATTCGAATAAGAATTTGTATTACTATTACGAATAGATCTAAACGTAGTGAATATATAACGATCTGACCTATAACTGACCAACATAATTTCCTAATTTTACCATCGTTACCATGTATATAAATTATGTATGTATTTAGAAGCAGGATCCTTCTAGCATCTCTACTTCGCAACGCATTCGCTAAAACTAAGCTACAAGTTATTATAATTTTTTTGAAGTTATTATTTATATTTTGCGCAGTTAGCGAATTTAGAATGTCTGAAATTTTTGGGTCCAATGTAAACCGGAAAACCGAACCGTTCGGAGCTTTAAATTGTAGTTGCAAATTGCATTATATCAAAAGATCATTTCCTGTTGACAATATTGATACTAATCATCATTATCATCAATCTTTTGACGTTTATTACAATGTTGGTTCGTATCCAAAAAAATAAACGAAATGTAATGAACGAAAAATTATTTTTTGTATATTAATATGCTTTTATGCAATTCATTCATTACCTTTTTCTTTATTGAATTCAGATAATTCCTCTTGTAAAATATCACCTGGTTTCCCCACTTTTTGTTTCTCCTCTTCACTAAGGTCATTTCTTCTCGCCTTTCTTCTCAACTCCTTCAACCACTTCCCGTCGTCCTCCCATCTTCAAATGCCTTCAACTCCTTCGCTGCCCTATCTAATCTCTCTTTTATGTCTTTTAATTCTTGTTCTATTTTTTCAAATGTTGCCATTGTAAAATTTTAAAATTTTAAATTAATTATTTTGTAAAAAAACTTTTTTTTATAGATTTAGATAGGACCCGGAAACTTCTAGTTGAGGTCCCAGGCAATAAGGGTAGGGGGATCACGTGATAATTTAATACAAAATCCGGATCAAAATTTGACTTTTCCAAAATCAATAATTGTCTTAAAGGTGAAGCTACATGAGATGCATTCAAATAACTCCT